GTTTCACTTCTTGATGTATTTTTCTTAAAGTGTCAGGATCCATCAAAAATCGTTGCCAAAGGATATTTTTTTCTCGTTCGTAGCTTGTATTTGTTTCCTGAAAAGTTTCAATTATTATATAAGAAATAATTAAATATACGTGTATATTTTATTATTATATAATTATATATGTATTAATTTACCAGTTGTTCTTTTATTTGGCTCCTTATTTTTCTTAAGTCAATCTGTATATCTTGCAAATTACTAAATGTTTCATCATAACATGTCTCAATTTCATGGGAAACTGCTTTAAATGTATGTGTATGTTCTTTTTGAATTTCGTTCAAATATTGTACATTTATTTCATTTTGTCTAATTTATAAGAGATTAAAACTTATAGTATTCTTTACAATTTTACATATTATTAAAAAATCAATACTTACAACATTTCTAATTTAGAAATTTTAGAATTCAAATATGTTTCCATTGTGAAATGTTTCTTACTTTTGTTTTCGTCCATGAGAGTATTATATTTACTCAACATAGAATTTAATTGTTGTGTATTATCACCATTGCATACCATTGATACGAATAGTTTGTGAAATGAATTATGCATGTTTGGTGACGATAATATGGCTGCAAAGTATTCATTTTGCTGTAGTTCCATGTTTTCCTGTATATAAATAAAATGTAATTTAAAGTTAAAAATTATGGAACTTTTGTATTTTGATGAATTACTAACACATCTTTTCGTTGATAATGAATATTCCGTTGTTAAATAATGGTAAGCATCGGCTACAAATTCTGAGATGACTCTAAGTCGAGAAAATTGTATTTCCATTAATATTCGTAATAAATCAGTGGACACGTGACCATTTTCTCGCACAAGAAATAGCAGAGTTTTAAGTTTCTCCAAACAATTTTTTTTTTCCTTGAGTCTTGACTGCATATCATGTCTTAAAATTTTAGTGATTTCCCGTTCTGAGAACTGTTGCACTAATTCTGTTAATTGATTTTGTTGTAACAAATTGACATTTTCTTCCAAGAAATCTCTTTTTTTAGTCAGCGTTAATATCTCTGTGCTAATTTTAATATATAAAATTAATACTTACATAATATGATTAAAAAAATAATTGTACATCAAACTTTAAGATACCTTAATTCCAACGGTGATGGTACTTTTAAATTTCCTAAATTATATATATCTTTTATGTAATTAAACACTGCACTCCATGATTTTTCTTCTATTTTAGCCAAAATTTTCTCCATCTTCGCATTAGTCAAGCTGTAAAATAAAGTATAAAGTACATTTTAAATTAATAGATATAATAATATCTCATTTACTAATAGTTATCAATACTTAATTACTTTGTTTTACACAATGCTAGTTCTTGTAACTCTTCATTATTTAAATTCTTTTTTCCACTGTTGCTTATTAAATAAATATAATCGGAATCTGTCGATTGCTCTTTCTCAGGTACACTTCCAAACTCTCGTTTTATATGGACATGTAAATATTGATTATATAGTTCAATTTTTTTAATAAATAGTTCTAATGGCATTTGAGTCCATAATAATGGTGTTCCTTTCTATAAAAATAATAATTTTATTAATATAAATTATGGATAAAATTAGAAAATTACTTACATTTTCAGCTGCATCTGCATAAATATTCAAAAGATGTTTGACTTCTTTAAAAAATTCATGATTGCGTATATCAAATTGTCTCAAAATTTCAAAACAATCTTCATATGCCTTATTTGCTTCAATAGTTTCCCTATTTAGACATTCTTCTTCTTTCTCTATATCTTCATCTAATTTAATCTCTAATTCCCTATAACAGTGTAACACTTTGTATGATAATATTAAATTTATCTGAATAAAAATACTCATAACAATCATTTTACTTTAAATTTTGTATCCCATTTTGTAGCGTGTAAATATAATTTTCATCTTCTTTGTGTGATTCTTTCAGTATTTCAAATTCTGAGTTGCTTATTAAATAAATATAATCGGAATCTGTCGATTGCTCTTTCTCAGGTACACTTCCAAACTCTCGTTTTATATGGACATGTAAATATTGATTATATAGTTCAATTTTTTTAATAAATAGTTCTAATGGCATTTGAGTCCATAATAATGGTGTTCCTTTCTATAAAAATAATAATTTTATTAATATAAATTATGGATAAAATTAGAAAATTACTTACATTTTCAGCTGCATCTGCATAAATATTCAAAAGATGTTTGACTTCTTTAAAAAATTCATGATTTCGTATATCAAATTGTCTCAAAATTTCAAAACAATCTTCATATGCCTTATTTGCTTCAATAGTTTCCCTATTTAGACATTCTTCTTCTTTCTCTATATCTTCATCTAATTTAATCTCTAATTCCCTATAACAGTGTAACACTTTGTATGATAATATTAAATTTATCTGAATAAAAATACTCATAACAATCATTTTACTTTAAATTTTGTATCCCATTTTGTAGCGTGTAAATATAATTTTCATCTTCTTTGTGTGATTCTTTCAGTATTTCAAATTCTGCAAATAAATCATTAATATCTGTGTCATCAAAAGATACAATTTTTAATAAATCTGGAGCATCTTTAGTAGCTTCCTCCAATGCATGATCTAGTTCATGACCTTCTAGCCACATGTTTGTATCTTGTAGTTGTTTCATTCTGAAATATAAGCCATTAAATTTATTAGTCCATATAAACCAATTTGTTTAGGAAAGAAAGTTTCTTAAATATTGCAAGGCATATATTTATTATATTATAGTTATATAAAAAAAATGTTTTAGTCTACGTACTAGTCAAATTAAATTTTGAAAGAAATAGATTTTATTTCTGACAAGAAATATATAAACTTTATTATTATCTGTTTTTCTTTACAATGTTTTCTATCAAAAATACACTATTCATTAATAAAATTACAATATATTATACAAATAACTTATATTTTTTAATCTACATTAATAATATTTAGTATTTTAAGCATAATTAGTGAATGTTCTTGTATGCTTATGGTACACCTAATTTAATATTATTACTATGAAAATTTATTATTATCATTAAACTATTATATAAATTTTATCTTTTATATAAATTTTCAATAATATACAAATCAATATTAACGTAATACTAAAATATTATTTTTATTAAGTAATAAATGGCAATATTACATTTGAAGATCTTCATCTGACACAACATTGACGTAATTTAAATTTTCACAAAACCACTTTAAGAATGGTTGTACCACAGGCTCATCGCAAATTTTATTCAATAATTCCGGTGTAAGAAGATTCGACAGTCCAGGACGCAAACCACAAACTTTCGTATAAAGAGTTTTACCAGAAATACTCATATTTTCATACAAACTGTCAAATAAACTATCAGTCGATAATAAACTAGAAGTCGAAAATTGAACATAAACACAACATTCGCTGCTGAATATTTGAAGACCTGTAAAGAAACAGAAAGCTTACTCCGATGCTATCCTATCTCACTCGATCTCGTTGGGCCCGCCGATGATCTTCGTTTCCGTCTTCAGCCAATAGCGATTACTGCCAGTGATCATGGGAATGTCAGCGAAATTAATCAGCCGCGAGGATGTAAACACATAGTACTGTCATATTTTTTATTACTGTTCTAGATGAAAGGTTTACATATAACATTGAATTTTCTTATCATTTAAAATATTATACTGTATCTATTATATAAATACTTAATGCAAGATTTACATTAAGGCAGAATACTTTATTTTTTGTCACTTAGAATATTTAATTACATGTTGTTAAAAATTATATACAATTGATATTACGTCAAATGTGTACAAAAGCATTTCTCGACAATTTCGAATAATCTTTTTTATATTATGTATAGCATCTCATATTCTAATTTTGCATTCGCGTTAGCAATTTTCATGAGTTTATTCAAGAAATAAGAAAGAAATTCGTCCACTCTTAGAATATCCTCTGCATTTGCAAATCGATCCATAACCCTCGTTCATAGTATACCTTCCAATACTTAATTGTTAATTGCATTCTTATTGTTAAAATCTTTGCTTATTAGGTTCCTGGTACAGATCAAATTTTACTATTCAGACAATAATTACTTGGAAATTTTTAAGATGGACGTAACTGAAGTTACCTATTTATTATGTAAAAAATGTCATAATTATTGTACTTATGAGATTTTGTTCCAAAGAACGAGAACAGAAAGTAAGATTAGTTTCCAAAAATTGTCTTTTTTTTATTTATAATATTTTAATATTTTTAATATTTTTGAACGATTCTACTTCCAGCTATAACCATATTTAGACCGAATAAAATACTTTTTAATGTTTTTCTTTCTGTTGAATAAATAAATAGTGTCATTTTCTTTTTTGAAGCTTATACTAGACTGCCTGTAACTTCAAAAATTTTCAATACTTTGTGTGAAAAAAATTGTGGACACTTGAAATACAAAACAAGAAACATGTGTATAGATCGGATGAAAAATGATTGACCTTTTCTTGGCAAAAATTTTCAAAATTCAACTACAAAGTTGCGTTCTAGATAGAAATATACTGTTAAGGTTAAAATACGATATGACGACTTTAATACGCAGTTGAACCTCAATTATATGAACGATTTCAGGCCGGATCTCTGTTATTTGAACTCTTATGTGAACCTCTATTATCTGTATCGAGTTCAAGCATAGTCTTGGTGATATGAACTCGTATTCTATGCTTGACTTTACGACTTTGTTATGTTCTTTTGATAAATCGATCTATCATTCAGGCTTAACACTGTTCTTTTGTTTTCAAAATTTTAGCTTATGTTACCAATTTACAAATAAACTAATTTTTTTAAGAAAGTGAATAATTACTGTGAAACGTTTATTCGAACCGCTGTCGTGAATAGGCAACTTCTGTTGAATACAAGGATGCGAATAAACATTTCTATTTCCCCAGCTACAGAAATAAAGTGTAAATAAGTGGTACAAATACCTACGAATTTCGGTTAATTGAACGTCATAACCTTTATTATTTGAACTGAAGGTAAAAAACCGTTGCAAACGAACCAACAACTGTTTACAAACATTTCTATTATCCGAGTTACAGAAGTAAAGTGCGAATAAGTGGTACAAATACTAACGAATTTCGGTTAATTGAACGTCAGAATCTTTATTATTTGAACTAAAGGTAGAAAACGGAGGGGATGTAAGTAGACCTCTATTATCCGAATCTCTCGGTTACCATAAAACTATCTTGTCCCCCAAAAGTTTGTATTAACGATGTTTTACAGTAATACAGTTAGGTTTTATATTTATATTTATAATAAACAAATATTACCGTTGCGTATTATTTAGTACAGTTTATTTATTTGTGATAAAGGAATGAATAATTTTTATCTCCTGATAGCTCCTGATTTGTTGGTATTTAGATTTTAATTAACTTTTGGATTTTGACTAATTGAATATTTATATCAATTTTATGGCCAGGATGAATATCAGACAGCAAATTAAAATCATCTGTGACCATCCAAATGATGAAGGTGGAATGAAACATATGAAACTGGAAGTTAGGTGACTGATGCGTAATGTAGAGGTTAGGGTTTATGATGCGATAATTACTAAAAAGGAAATTCAACAAAGTTGAGGTTTTTTACAAAATCGGTTCCATAAACTCGATTTCTTTTTTCGTTTTCTTAAATTGTTTATACATTTAAAAATATGTGTGCAAATCTGATAGTGAAATTTGTAAAATTAAAAAAATTATGAGCGTTCAATACGAATATGCAAAGTGAGAAACTGCGAAGCAAAGTAGGTTTCAACGGCATAGTTATTTCATTTATTCGTAGTTATTGCATTTTTAATTTTTTTTTTCTGTTTATACTATTACAATTGTTATGTTAATAATTTACAAAAATTTTGTACTCTATCGTCCTGAAATAGTAGATTCAATAAGAATATAGAAGAAAGTACGCATATAAAAGTACATGCATCATTTTCTCACTCACGCAGATTGATGTTCGTGCTATATTGAACTGGCTGGCACGATATCTCAAATTCGACTTCAAATTTGTGCTGAATCTTCAGAAAATATTTTCAAGTATATATGTAAAATTCAGAGTATTGTCATTTTTTTAAATTGACAAAATAGAAATTTCTTTTTTTCATACTTTTTCAAAAATTCTGAAAGATAGTCTTCTTTTTGGCACGTATTTGTAGATAACCCTCTTAACTCATAGCAATACTTTTTTTCTGTTACTCACCAACAACTCTTTCATTAATTTACAAAACAGTTCAAAAGAAGGGGGTCTCAATAAAATATCGTATGGTAATAGTGCAGAGTATATAACGAATATATTTTTCATTTCTATTAAGTAGTAAGGTAGTAACTAAATAAATATATATAATCAATCAATTTATTTACCTAAATTATTTATAATTTTTCGAGGTATTATATTTTTTAAAATATTCTCCTGAATTAGGACCGCGTTTTCTATCAATAATATCACGATAGAATGTTGTTTCTTTTCTCTCTACTTTGATCTTCCGATTGGACACGTCATACAGTTTTTGTGTTTCTTATGAGAAAAAAGTAATGAATCTTCCCATCTAAACGCTGTATCATTTGTGGACAAATTGCCGTGTTTCTGTATAATGGCGCGAAATACTCCGATTAGACCCATCAACCTTTTTTCTCAAAATTTTGTATGACATTCTTCCTACGTTTTCCTTCGTAGAATAATCATTGAATAAAATGTTTGAGTTTACAATAGAAGTTTCCAACCCGCAGAAAAATAATTTTCTCCAATCACTTCAATGTCTTCCACATAAATTAATGACTGTGTTGATACTATGATATTAATAACAATATAATATTAAAAATAATATAATAATACG